TCCAACTCCATCGCCCTCAGCCTTGACGATAGCCGCCTCCTCCTCCCTCCTCAACTCCTCCCTCAGCCCTTCATCACCCCGCCTCTAGCAACCGCCACCGGCACTTCTAGCCGCCGGCGAGCCTCGTCGGAGCCCACCGAGACACCTTGACGACCCAGGCAACCTCCTCCCACCTCCGGCAATCCCAGACAGCAGGGAAAGGCTCCGAACAGCGAGGAACAAGCCCGATCGGCGAGCAGTTGCACTACAAAAACTGCATCTTTGTGTCGAATTTGCACGCATTTTTCGATCACCTCCGACCTCCGTTTTCGTCGATTTCTTCTCCGATGAGTAGCCCAATATATTGTCTATCACCTCCAATTTGTATCATGCTCTAACTCACTCTCTATCTCTCTCGGTATCGTCTGAAACATCGCTCGACGACAAGCAGTTCCCAGATTCCGATAGTTTTGTGCTGACTTCACACACGCTTTCCGATCACCTCCGGTCTCTGTTTCCACCATCGTCTTCGTCGGTGTGTAGCCCTTTATATTGTTTATCACACGGTATCTCCCTCTCGCTTGGGCTCATTGTCTACCTATTGTTATGTAACTTCGAATATCGCTCATTGTTACTATAACATCTCTTTTGTATCCTAACTGATTGACTTTCCGGCGAGCCCGCAGAACCTGTTGTGACCGGTGCAGCCACCCTGATGAACCATGCTGCCCCTCAACGTCCCCGAGGCAAGTCTCACTTCTTTCAGGTGTTGTATCTACGCGAAATTATGATGTGTGTAGTAGTACATGATGTGAGAGTATAGCTCATGTTCACTCTCAACACACTTTTATTTTCATCACACACTCGTTACATATAACAGTACTCAGCAACACTTAATATCACCATAGTTTGTATTACATGACCACAATTCTCACACACCTTTTACACTGTATTTTTATATAACAACTCAGTTTGTATAACTTTATCATCACTCTCATTTACAACTAGTCAAATAGCAATGACTTCTCACCATACACAAGGACTGGTGATGTGATATGCATTAAGAATTGTAATAATTTAGAATGACGTGAGTAGTAGGAGACCGCATGAAATGCTAAATAAAATTGGTGTAAAAGTTTCGTATGGAAAGTGACTTGGTATAATGTGTCTATGATAATATGTGTAAAAGTGACAGTGAGTGTATATGGTAATATGGTAATATCTATATATGTAAAAGTGAGTGTATATGGTAATATCTATATATGTACATGTTGTGTACATATCTATTTTATGCTAAAAAAAGAATTATTAAAAAAGGAATATTTTAAAGATTAGTTTACAATAATTATGATGAGAAATAATTTAAAAAAATTATTTTGGAAAAGATTATTTGAATTAATAAATTTATGATCGTGTAATTGACAGTTGTAGAACGCGGCATTTCATGTGTAAAACAACTGCTAATTTCTATGAGAAGTTTAGAGATCCGAATAGTAAAATATTGATGAAATTGATTTGCATGCATATATATATTAAAGTTACTGTTCACAGTTACTGTTCATAATTTATGATTCTTGATTTTAATTATGTATTATTGCATAGAATTAGTTGTATTTATTTATTATTTCTTGTTATGATTGAGAACCATTAGGAGTTCATAATTTTAGTGACTTTGCGCATCATGAACAAAACCTAGAGACATGTGTGTGCGTTGACTTAGAAACGCAAGAATCGTTAGGATGGGAAAGTCATGGTTTATGTGATCAGATGTGGTTAGTGATGTATCTTCCAGACTCGCACCAGTGATCTGTTTCGTTCTGGGGTTGGTCTGTTGAGCTAGTAGCTTGTTTTGTCACTTTGGTTAGTGACCTATTTCGTCACCTGAGTTTTGCTTGAGTTCGGACAGGCCGAAATCGGATTGCGTGTAGTCCTCTCACCGACTGTTTCTCAGGATTGGATGTGCGTAGTGGATTTATGAACAGTCAGTTATCCGATGATATGAACGTTGACTCTATGTGAGATGTGGACCAGTGAACCATTATAGGATGACTAGTTAAATGACCTCGTTACTTGGATGATTGTGATTTCTTCTGATTGTTATACTCTAGTGGTGGATTGCATTTAGATTATTAGAATTCCAGTGCCATGCTTCTATTGTTATTACTGTTATTGTATTAGTCGTTTGACCATTTCTATTCTTCATTGTGGGATCTTGTCTTATGCCATGCATGCTGACGTACTCCTATTCTCTCGGTTGTATGTCAGATTTAGAGGACGGACAGATTTAGCAAGAGCCAGAGTATTCTTAGCATGAGTGTTTTGGAGGCAGAGCAGAAGAAGAAGTCGAAGCATAGTTATTTCTTTTAATTAGTTGACGGTCCTAGTTTACTTTAGTAGCACTTTCCATTTCCACTTGATCAATGTATTTTTATATTTCTCCAGTATTTCAGTTGGATAGTTTTGTATCAGGGAATGTTTGACCCAAATATTATGTTTGGGATAATATTTTATTTGTGATATGGATCATTTTGTTCTGAGTTGTTTATTATATTCTTGCTAATTGTGATCGGGGACTTGTGACTTCGTATTATATTGCTTGACGTTTAGCGTATTAGATTGAGCAGAAAGGGTCTAGTACTTATTTCTCCTCAGTCTGATACGTCGCGGGCTTGTTCGCGTTCTAGTTCCCTGGTATTTTGGGAAACGGGGTGTGACAGGTTTTCTTGGTGGCCCACGCAGGTCACAGTCCCGAATTCCCACTAGTGAGAATATAATGAATAATTTAGACGCATATCATTATTTCATCCGTAAGACTATACTTAAGCCCTTATCCTATTATCTTGATAAATTATATTTTAGTCCCTACCTTACTCAATTTCGATTTTGATTTTGACTTAACTTTCTTATTCTTCCTGCAATGATTTTGATTCTCGTTTTTCTCTTTCTTCGCCTTTCCTTCAGAACCATATTGGGTACATGTAGCAATGGTAACCCATCTGGTAGTAGTGGCTCGCCGCCCGAAGTGGACTCGCGTCAACTTCTGGTAATGATTCAGGGACTGGAGATGAATCAACAGCATCTGGCCAGGCACTTGCAGCGGGAGCCTCACCAGCCTTCCCCTCATATAGAGCTTGGTGTTAGAGAATTCTGGTACATACGACCTCCTTCTTTCTCTAGTGCTGATTGATCTCTAGCAGCAGAAGAATTCCTTAAGGTTACTGAGACCATTCTCACGGTGACCCGTATTGCTCCTACGGAGTGGGTGGATCTTATGGACATCCAGCTCACTGATACTGCACGGATTTGGTAGATGGCTGAGAAGACCCATCTTGAGAGGCCGATTCTGTGGGAGACATTCACGGATCGCTTCAACGAGAAATACTTTCCCCAGTCTGCCCAAGACGAGCTTCTGCGTCAAATTGTCGAGCTCAAGTAGAGAGATCGATCGGTTGATGAGTACGAAGCTGAGTTCTCCTCTCTTAGCTGATACGCTCCTCACCTGGTTATCGACCCCACCATCAGGAGGCATCAGTTCTAGAAGGGTCTAGACAAGTATATCAGGTCGGCTCTGGCTGGTAGGGCACTTACGACTCATGACGCTGTACTGGATGCATCACGTGAGATCGAGAGTATCCAGAAGAAACCTGAAGACCTACATGTGATCAACAGTAGACCACCAATAGCTCCAGCACAGAATATTGAGCGTCTCCCTCTGAGGCAGCAGACTCCGCAGAGGCAACAGTTTTCTCAGTGATAACCACTTCCTTAGGGCCACCCCTATCAGCGCTCTGGAGTGTAGACTCGCAACCAGCCTTCGGTGAAGTGTTCCTATTGTGACTTCACTAGGCTTACCCAGCAGGAGTACCGCAAGCGTCTTCGTATGTGCTACACTTGTGGATCCCCCAGCCATGTCAGTCAGGACTGTCCGCAGCGGCAGCAGGCCCGCTTGCCCCCACCTCCAGTTCGGGCAGCTCTTCCAGCTCCACCTCGACCAGGCCTAGTAGCACAGGCTCAACAAGGACCCTATCCCCCAGCAGGGCCTTTTCTTCCATAGAAGCAAGTTTATCAAGAGGCGCGAAGGTAGCAACCACCACGTCAGACATTCATGTTGATGGATGTGGAAGCTGAGGCGAACGACCAGATCATTACTGGTAAGAGTTGGTCATTCTCAGTTTTGCTTGCATATGATTTTTCCTTAATTAGTATTACCTGATGATATTATGATAGTATTTGTTATAAGTGCTAACTTAGTTGTGTTCTCCTTCTTCTGCATTAGGCAAGGTTCTTGTTTCTTCCGTCCTAACATTATCACTTTTTAACTCAGGAGCTTCCCACTGTTTCTTGTCTCGCCGTTTCATGACTACACATTCTCTTCCTATGACTTCTCTTTCCTCGGGCTAGAATATCAACATTGGCAGTGGTGTCTTGGTGGTATCCTGATACGGATGTACCTTCTCTTCGGGAGCTTAGCGATCCTCATGGGAGCTTGAGGATAGATGATTCTCATGGTATCTTGAGAATAGAGTAGAGGAGTCGTGGACGAGGTCATTGGAGGTGGCGAAGTCGAAGGATTCATCAAAACTGTAGGAATTACAGCTGGGCTCTGGCCGGTCGACCGACTTGGTCACAGCGGTCGACCGCGTAGTGCACAGACCCAGACTGTGTCTCTGGACTGAGAGCGGTTGACCGATGTAGGCGCTGCGGTCAACCGGAAACCCTGTAATCGATTTTTCCAGAAATCGATGTTCTGGCTGGTCGACCGACTTGGTCTCAGCGGTCGACCACGTAGCGGTTATGGGCCTGGGCCTGTTTCCTACACCGTTTAGGATTTCTTTTTAGTATAAATAGAAACACGACTTGTCTAGGGTTGATCACTCAGATTGTAATCAGAAAAGAGATCAGGGAGGTTGTTCTTTGATCTAGAGAGATTGTGAGAGAGAGATTTTGTAAATCCAATTGATTCTCATAATCTAGAGAAGGTATTTTCCTTCACCCTAATTATAAATCTTGTGTTCTTCTGTCGTTTTCTTCTCTACCCACTCTTGATAATTCCGCGATCAAGAGTGCTCGCACGGCGACTCGTATCAAGTTGGTATCAGAGCACCTAGATCCTATGAAGGGGGAACCTGTGTATGGTCCTTACTCGCTCACAGTACAAGAAGCTTGGCGAGATCCTTATTTCCTTAGAGGGAGTCCAGAAATTAAGGAAGGAGAAGATGACTAAAGCAGATAATTCAGCAAGACTTGATGCCATAGAGAAGCAGATTGAGACGATCGGAACGACTCTTACTCAACTCGTGGGTCTCATCAACGGAGGAGACAAAAAGGAGGAATCTTCTTCGAAGGGTAAGAAGAAACTCGTCGAATCCGACGAAGAGAGCGAGAAATCTGATTCAGAGGGGGAGACTGAGATTGTCAAGACTGTTGGACATCAAGGGGGTAAGAATAATTACCTGAATCTGAAGATTGACTTCAAGGTTGAGATTCCTGTTTATGATGGGAATATCAATGTGGAGAAGCTTGATGATTGGATCGAACGTATGGAGATGTACTTCACTCTCTACGGATATTCGTCCAAGAAGAAGATAGTGTTCGCGACATTGAAGCTTTCAGGGTACGCGTTGACGTGGTGAAAATCCTATTGCAAACAGGAGAAGAAAGCGGCGTCGTAGAACAAGTTCAAGGAGCTACTTCAGAAACAGTTCTATCCAGTGGGGTTCCTTGAGAAGCATTGGTACAAGTGGTATGACTTACGCCAAAAGTTTAATCAGACCGTTCAAGAGTACACGACGGAGTTCCAGCAGCAGGCGATGGTTCTAAACATCGCAACGGACGAGTACTCCATCTTCATGAAGTACATGGCGGGTCTGAATGATTACATCCGGAAGAAGATGAAGCTGTTTTCGGTTGAGACAATCGCAGAGGTGAGCGTGAAGGCCATTGCCATTGAGGGCAGGCAGAAGAAGGGAAACGAGACAAAGGGGGATTCCAAACCATCGGGGAGCAAGACGGGTGGCTCTCAGTCTAAGGATGAGAAGAAGAAGGGTGACTAGGGGAAAGCAGGATTGACATGCAATCACTGCAAACAGACAGGGCACGTGACTGATCGTTGCTGGGATAAGTATCCTCATCTGAAGCCAAAAGGGTTGAAGAAGAAGGAGAAGAAGAAGGCGTACGTGATAGCACAGGGTCCGAAGGAGGTTCTCGGAATGACTGAACCCAATAGTAGTCTTAACCTTATGGCGGGGAAGTAGGCCACTAAAGAAGATGATGACCCGAGGGAACAGCTCTTTGTTCTGAAGTTGCAGGTCAAGACCAGTTTAGTGGATGCTATTATAGATACAGGGAGCCAGAAAAATCTGATATCTGAGGCATTAGTACAGAAGCTAGGATTAAAGACGGTGAAGCATCTGAAGCCCTATCCATTAGGGTGGATTCAGAAGAAGGCGGGATTGAGTGTGGTGAACCAGTGTTCATTCAGATTTGCACTCCATGAGTCGTATATTGACGAGGTCACATGCGACGTGGTTCTGTTGGATGTTTGCCAAGTTATTTTGGGCAATCCTTATTTGTGGGATATATACGCAGTATATGATCGGCAAGCCCAAAAGTATACATTCATCAAGGATGGCGAGCAATTCATTTTTCGTTCAGCATCTCTTCCACAGGAGACGAGCTTGGTGATGGTGACTTAGGCTAAGAGGTTGGTGAATGCGGGCAGAAAGTTCGTTTTATTGTTCATTCGGCCTTATGAAGAGCAGCTGAGTAGGATGTGTTTGTCCACCTTGAGCAAGCTCCAGGAGGGAGATCTTGACAGGTTAAAGGCCAAGTATGCAGACTTGTTTTCAGAGATCACGGGACTACCACCACGTCGAGGTGTAGAGCATGAGATTATATTGACCGGGGAGAGTTCCTTAGGGACTACCACCACGTCGAGGTGTAGAGCATGAGATTATATTGACCGGGGAGAGTTCCTTACCTAACATAGGCCTATACCGCACATCAGTACAGGAGTCCGAGGAGATCAAGAAGCAGGTTCAGGAGCTCTTGAAGATGGGAGTGATTGTGCTGAGTTGTTCGCCTTGCGGGTCACCAGTGTTGTTGGTGCCCAAAAAGGATGGAGGCTGGTGCATGTGCTTAGATTACTGGGCGCTCAACAAGATAACCATCAAGAATCGCTACCCATTACCGCGGATCGATGATCTTATGGACCAGTTGGAGGGAGCGAGGTTTTTCACGAAGCTGGATTTAAAGTCTGGTTACCATCAGGTGAGGATTCGGGAGGAAGACACTTGGAAGTCTGCGTTCAAGACCAAGCAGGGCCTGTTCGAGTGGTTGGTGATACCGTTTGGATTGTGCAATGCTCTGGCTACCTTTATGAGGCTTATGAATGATTTGTTGCGACCTTTTATAGAGGATTTTGTGATAGTTTACCTTAATGATATCTTGGTGTACAGCAGGACTTGGGAGGAGCATCTCGTTCATATTGAGAGGGTATTTGAAGTGTTGCAGGACGGACAGCTGAAGCTCAACGGGAAGAAGTGTGAGTTCGGGAAGGACGAGTTGGTGTATCTCGGCTTCATCGTAGGGAAGGGCCAGCGGAGGATAGATCCAGGCAAGGTGGAGGTGATCACGAAGTGGCCAACGCCGAAGATAGTGACTGAGGTGAGGAGCTTTATGGGGGCTTGCCAGTATTTACGCAAGTTTATTCGATATTTTTTGACTTATGTGACACCGTTACATGGCCTCACAAAGGCTAAAGTTCAGTTTGAGTGGGGGAGGACGCATGAGGAGGCTTTTCAGTTGCTAAAAAGGAAGATCTCGGAGGCACCGGTGTTGGCGTTGCCGAATTTGCAGCGGACTTTGGAGGTGGAGACAGACGCGTCTAGTTATGCGATGGGCGCGGTGTTGATTCAGGATGGGAAGCCAGTGGAATACCATTATGAGAAGTTTTCGGGTGCTGTTGTGAACTACCCAACCTACGACAATGAGTTCTACGCACTATATCAAGCAATTAAGCATTGGAGGGTGTACTTGTTGGGGAAGGAGGTGGTCGTGCATTCAGATCATAAGCCGTTGGAGTTCTTACATGCCCAGACGAAGCTACAGCAGGCACGGCACATGAAGTGGATGTCTTATTTGATGGCTTTCAACATCATTATTAGGTACAAGAAGGGGGCGACGAACAAGTTGGCCGATATGTTATCTCGCCCACCGATAAGGTCGTTGTTGGTGGCGACGCGTATTCAGCCCTTGGTTCCTTTGGAGTATGTACAGCTGTATGCATCCAGTAGAGACTTCGGTAGTGTGTTTGAGCAGGCGAAGGCTGGTCGAAGGGGGGAGTATGCACTTGGAGAAGATGGCTTGTTGTATCGTGGGACATCACTATACATTCCGAAGGATGGTGATAGGTTACAGTGGATTCGGGAAGCACATACCTCGCGTGTGCAAGGTCATTTTGACATCCAGAAAACGCTTCTCAATCTACGGCGACATGTGTTTTGGCCACGGATGCTTGATGATGTGACCAAGTATGTTGGAGGGTGTAAGTTATGCTGTATTTCGAAGCGTGTACCTATCATTACCGGTTCCTTCTAGGCCGTGAGAAAGCATTTCTATGGATTTTCTAGGAGGGTTGCCGACTACGAAGCGCGGGCATGACTATTTGTACGTTGTGGTGGACCGGTTCAGTAAGATGGTGTTTTTGATTCCTTGTAAGAAGACCGTGACGGGAGCGGGTGCAGCACAATTATTCTTTGAGCATGTGTGGAAGCACTTTGGGTTGCCGAGTTCGATTATTTCGGATCGGGATAGCCGTTTTCTCGGGCATTTTTGGTATTCTTTGTGGAGTTTGATGGACACTAAATTAAAAAAGAGCACGGCCTTTCATCCACAAACAGACGGACAAACGGAGGTAGTCAACCGGACTATGGTGCACATGTTGCGGGGGTATAATTCCAGGCATCCTAAGACTTGGGATGAGAGTTTACCATATTTGCAGTTTGCTTTTAATCGGGCGATTCATGGATCTTTCGGAAAGTCACCGTTTGAGACTTGTTATGGATTTTTACCGCCGAGCCCATTTGATCTTGTGTTTTCGTGTGAAGCCACAGTGGACGGCAAGGATGGGAGTGAAAGACAATGTGCTCAGTGATTTCTCGAGAAGATTGCACATATTCATGCCACGGTTGAAGCTCAATTGAAGAAATCACAAGCTAAGTATAAGGCGAAGCATGATCAACATCGGGTTCCTTGCTCAATTGAAGAAATCACAAGCTAAGTATAAGGCGAAGCATGATCAACATCGGGTTCCTTGTAACTTTATTAAAGGTGATATGGTATGGCTAAAATTGAGTAAGGAGAGGCTAAAAGGAGAAGGGAAGAAGTTGAAGCCTATTCGTTATGGTCCGTTTCGGATTCTCGATCAGATTGGCGACAACGCTTTATGCTTAGATTTGCCGCCATACTTAGGCATGTATTCGGTGATCAATGCCGAGTACTTGAAGTTGTTTGAGCCTCCGTTATTGGATGATGAAGGTGATGACAAGATGATCTTACCGCATGTTGAAGACTTGTGGTTTGATAGAGAGGAGCTACTGAATTGGAACGGAAGACGACCACGACGAGGCGGGGGACGAAGGAGTCGTTTCTCATTGGACGTCAAGATCAGGTTTCTAGCAAGGCTAAGTAGTTCAACAGAGAAGGAGGGGCTCGCGAGTTCCCTCAGCTGAAGTTCTAACTTGAATGGGACTTCAAGTTCCTAAAGGGGGACCCATGATACGGGTATATCTTCTCTTCGGGAACTTAGCAATCCTCATGGGAGCTTGAGGATAGATGATTCTCATGGTATCTTGAGAATAGAGTAGAGGAGTCGTGGACGAGGTCATTAGAGGCGGCA